TTTCAACTTTCATACTCATATATATGTATATTGATTCAAACGCATCTTCGAGAATCGATTTGCGTGCAAAACATATATGGCACATCACAATCTTAAAAATTCTCACTTATTTTTGGTTTACCCCCAACATGTAAAATTGTTACATTGTTTATATTATTACATTTAGTCAAAAAGTAGTTACTCAGCCATTGGCTCAACATACAAATTTCCTTGATATTTGGCAGAAAGCATAATAATCAAATGCATCAATCATTTGATATATTTATTAAATGCATTAAATATAGTTATAAAATGATACGGATGAATACGGGCTTTTGACAATATTCGCGATAGCACTTTCCTTACATTTTCTTACCTTTCTTTGTACTTAACCAAATATCCAAAAAAAAAATTCTCTTTTTTCATATAATAATAGTAGTAGTAGTAGTAGTAGTAGTAGTAATAGTAGTAGTGTTAGTAGTAGTAGTATTAGTAGTAGTAGTAGTAGTGGTAGTAGTAGTAGTAGTAGTAGTAGTAGTAGTAGTAATAGTAGTAGTAGTAGTAGTAGTAGTAGTAGTAGTAGTAGTAGTAGTAGTAGTAGTAGCAGTAGAGTAGCAGCAGCAGCAGCAGTAGTATCGTAGCGATAATAATAATAATAATAATAATAATAATAATAATAATAATAATAATAATTTGATAATATATTATTTATGAGAAAACTTATTACGGTCGCTTTATCTGCTACTTGACAATCATGCAAGTGTTGATATATAAATATAAATATGATTGCAAGTTATTTTATCCGTGACCTTTAGCTTTAATCGCATGGGTAAAGTTGTCGAGCTACAAAAGTCGTGAACAAAGCAGATCGTAAGCCGAATGTAGCATCGTATCGTACAATCCTGCAAGCACAATAAAGAATGAAAATGAATGTGAATCAAATTATATAATGTATGGATGACTGTGTACGTAATGAAAAATTTTACATGTAAAATGATATTACCGTTTTTGGTTTATCCACACATTTGGACATAATTCTCTTGAAAGCTATATATTACGACATATACATGAATATTTTATAGATAATGTTAACGTGAAAACATTCAATTCAGAGCATGCCATAAAGTAAATTTCTCTATAGTATTGATACATGTTTAAGTCTCAATCTCGACATACAGCTGAGGCCTCAGTTGTATGTCGGTTTTTTTTAATCCGGTTATAACTTTAATCAGTGGCATTTTAATTAGTGTCAAGTAAAGTGCCTAACAATAAGAAATATAAAATATAAAATAAAATAGATCAAGTATTTCAGTTTGTTGTATTCATAACGCAGTATTTCATTTGTTATGTAACATACAGGAAATGTAAGTTATCTATTATTACGATTAAATGATCGATATATTATGTTAATGTATAACTATTAATATAATATTGTCTAATTTTATCTAATTTTTAATATAATAAAACAAAGTTGTAATACTTTTTGCGACTTTTCATTTTGCGTTATATTATCTCTCCTCGATATCGTATCGCATATTTTTGCAGAAAAAAATTGAGAAACAATGAAAAGCACAATCATACAAGTGCAAATAATTTTTTACTGTTTATTTATTATTATGGGGTAGAGGACGGGGCGCTCGAGGATGACATCACAAGCTCCTGACGGCGCAAATTCCATCGACGTGATCTCAAGCTTGAATCGGTTCATCGATTTTGCAAACAAAAATATGTTTAAATGGATATTTTGAAAAAAGTTACGATACAAGCATATATAAGAGGAAGAGCAAACCAAATTATACATATATGTGTATACGGTTAGTTATGGAAAAAATTATTGACTAAAATAAAACGATAGCTTTCATTATTTACTTTATTAATAATTTGTGTGCAAAATATATATCAACATTAAATTATTATTTCGAGTAGTAAAATTGCCTATACATTTTTATTTTTCATACACATATTTTAAAAAATTAGCAATTTTTTTGTAAAATACAGTAATATATAGTCAGGAGTCATCAGATATCAGGAAGAACCACACTTCATTTCATTCTCGCCTTCTCTCTCTCTCTCTCTCTCTCTCTCTCTCTCTCTCTCTCTCTCTCTCTCTCTCTCTC